ACGCATCTTTAAATCCATTTTTATAACATTTGGCAATAGCAATATCAAATTTCATAAGCTATCTATATTAAAACTTTTTAAAAATAATAACTTATTATTGATTTGTTTATATTTCCCTATTTAATTAAATATTAAAGTAATGCGTGTATTCTCTAACTCGGTTTTAAGTATGAATTATGCATAGTGGACCCTGAGTAACCTTTACCTCGAGGTTATCTTTTTTATCATAATGATTAACCGAACCGATTCTACACAAATTAGGTATCGATTAAATAATTATACTATCCCTTTGCTTTTCTGATAAACGAATAGCTAATATTTTCTCTATGTCGTGACAGTCCATCAAACATAACCCTCATTCTCTGAAGCTTTATAAAGAATAGTCTATTTTTTAAAAAATTACAGCAAATTTAGTTTATTTTACGGCAAATTTTTACACATTTACGTAAAATACTGTTTAATGTAAAATAGAAAGTTTACATGAATTGTTACAACGATACAAATGCATCATTCATTCCATATATCAATTCATTTCACTCTTATTATTAACGCTGTGTATGTATGTGTGTGTGTATGCCTTTCATTTTCCCCTTTCGATTTCAAATCTCTTTCATATTCAACTATAATGGTTAGATCCAATCTTGACATTTAGCGTCTTCCTGCTATCAAAAGACTTTCTCCTTGACGAAAAGATCAATTAATTTTTTCAGAGCAAACTACGATTCTTATCTTAATGTTTAAAACAATCTCTTTTTGCAATTTTTTTTTCCTTTAAAAAAAATATTCTAAAATATGAACTCTTTCAGAAAAATCAAATTCTTTCGTTCTTCCTTCCATTTAGCGCTTCGTTCAAAGCATCCGGACTTTCTCCACTGAAAGGATAATAAACAAGAAAATCGCACTACAATCGCAACTTTTCACAATAAAAGGCTTTTATGCAAATAAGTAGTTTCTTTCACCGATATTCTTACGCTGTAACATTTTTTCTAGTATTTTCATTTCATTCCTATTCTGTCAAAATCACCTGTTATTCAAACTTCCAAAAATTGAGAATCATCACATGCGTAACATTTTTGGTCTGTTTATGTGATTGTTTGAATTATTTAAAAACATAGATCTATGCTTAAATCTAACACAATCTGTTTGTCTATCTCTTGGTAAAATTAAATACATTATATAAATGTAATGCGTAAACATCGAATAACCTTTAAAATTACTTTTTCTTAATATTTATCATCATCTTTATTAACGCTTTCATCATCAAACACTTGGGTTCAAACGTTTACTAATCAATTTTACTAAAATTGAATTCATTTGTAGCTGTTCAAATCTTTAAAAAAAACTTTTAGATTTTAATCAAATAAATTTCAATTCAGAACACGAATTTTATTTGAAATTTGGCGAAGAAATTAATTCAAAAATATATAATTTTGATAAACCATATGATCCGGAAGAGTGATTACGACATGTATATCACTCTTTAAATATCATAGGCATTGTTTACACGGAAAGATGTTTTATTTATCTCCCTTGTGCTTCGGGCATTATTGAAACAAAAAAAAGGAAAAAATTCTTATTGAAAAATATTTCTCAGACGTATAATTGAAATTTAAATATTCAGTAGGAATCTAAAATTCCTATAACCAGATAAGCATCTGGTTTAATTTATAAGAATATTAAGCATATGATCAGGCCATAAAAGAAAAACGGGATCTAGACTGATGCATCAGGAAGTCACTGTAGAGCTTCATACTGTCACCAACAACGCTTCCCCCGTTTCTCCCAAAGAGTCTAATAATCCTCCAGGATTAACGATAGGAATTCTGCAGGATTCCCAACCACCCCACCAAACTGTGGAGATTGGATTCTAGCGTGTGGTTAGATGCTGTTATGATAGAAGCCGTGTTTCTGCCTTTGCTTTTTTCCTCGCTTTTTTTTATATCTTCCTGTTGTGTGCGAGTTTATGGTTAATTTAAAATAGGAAGAAATGTTTTTTTTTTTTTTTGTTTCATTTAATCAAAGTTTAGTTTAACATTTTCATATAATACAAAGCATTAATTAATTAATTATTATTATTATTAGAATAAATCATCTGTAAAGCAATACCAAAATTTAATCAAGCTATCATTGTTATAAATTATTAGTTAATTTAATAAAATCTTAATTTTCTAAGTAACATCTGGTTGTTCGAACGAATTAAGAATTTCAAACCATTCTTATAGTTAATTCCACGTACAGTACAAATAGACTTTTAAATCGATATAAAAAGTTGTTGAAAAATTCAGAATTAAGCTCTGCTCCAACAACTCAAACTTTGTTTTGATTTTTTGAAGCAAATTTATATATCATAAGTAGCAAGAAGCATAGATTTTAAAGAGACTATTTATTGGATTAGTATTAAGACCATTCAGTGATGATAACGAGTCATTTCGTGAAATTTCCAAGAAGAAAAGGTTTCAAAATGGAGTCGATAAATTTTCAGTCTAACGAATCAGGAACAATTGACGAGAATATCATGGTTTCAGCAGACATCTCGAGTTGTTACCGGTAATAAAAATAAACGAGACGAGAAAAAAAAAGGAAAGAAATTGGAACAAGACGTGAACAGGACGATCTTTTGTTCTCGTTAAGAAAGGTTCCCTCCAGGAACTATAAATTATCAGTGGACGATAGTCTCATCTCGGGATGACACGTAGGAAGAATATGTAATCTTCATCTACGGCAAGAAGAGCTTTAAGGAAACCAATGCTCTGCATTTTTACGGGATCTTTGACAGATGGCATTAGAGGAATCACTTCTACCAACGATTCTTGGAGTTTGAGTCTAGAGAGTTAAACAGCAAGATCCTTCCAAACCATGTGAGAAGATATAAGTACCATTATACAACCACAATTACCTGATATATAAGATTTTAAAAAGTATATATATATAAAGATGAAAAATATGTATCTGTTTGATAAACTAACGAGAAATTACATTAGAATTTGTTCAATATTTAATTATTTCTTACAGCGTTAAAATTCTATACTATCGAATCTATTTTCTCTCAGAAACATTGCAGTTAAAATAACAAAATAAATAAATAACTATTTCTTATTTAACTATGATAAACCTACGTAAATTTAATCCAGTTTTAATAAAAAAAATATCTTACGTAAAAAGTAATAAAATAATTTTAATTATCCTATTTAAAAAATAAAAATATTTTA